ATAGATAGATAGATAGATAGATAGATAGATAGATAGATAGATAGATAATGGATGGATAGATAGATAGATAGATGATAGATACATGAATGGATAGATAGATAGATAGATAGATAGATAGATAGATAGATAGATAGATAGATAGATAGATAGATTTAAAGCAAGGAAGGAAAAATTCTTTTGTATCTTCTTTCTTTTTTTAACTGGTAGATGGGACTTAACTCTTGCCAATGTGACCCTTCTCAAAACAAATGGACTTCTATACCAGAAGACTCAATAAGTCTGGCTGCCAGCTGGGATGAAGGCAAATATATGTGTCCCAGGATAATGTTGCAGGATACAATCTGGGTTGGTCCCCAGGAGCAGAGGTTTAGTCTTCTGAGCTTTTGGATTTCTGCTGGAGCCCATCTTTGGGGAACTTCTCTCTCACCAAGAATGGATTGAATAAATTATGCTCAGAATTGGAAACTGTCTATTGTCCCTTCAGAGGAGATGGTCATTAAAAAAAATTCACGAGTGTGCAGAGATGGACAGCCTAACCAAATTACTAAAAAACAACAAAGATAGTGAATACTACAAAGTTTGGAACTGTTGGTATGAATGGTTAAAGAAAAAGTAACATTTGATAACTGAATAAGGTATGAAATTATGAAGGATGTGCATTTAATTATAAAGTATTCTGTGAAATTAAAACATTAAAAGAATGAGGAAGGTATTGTAACAAGGTAGTTCACGTCAATGTTATGGGGTAAAAGAAAAAAAAGAAAAGAAAAATGTAACCAATGCTCAATACCTGCTGCAAAATGTATATATGTATATATATATATTTATTTATATGTTTGTTTGTTTCTTTTTAAATGTTTTAAATATATGAAACTTAAATAAACTTTATTTTAAAACTCTAAAAAAAAGAAAAGAAAAAGAAAAATCCATTAGACTAATGGAGCTATCAGACCTGCCTCAGCTAAGACCCTAGGAGAGAAAAACCCTCGACTCCATTTGGTTGAAGTGATTCTTTTACTATGGATTAGTGGTTGTAGCAAAAGCAAGGCTAGGTCTGAGTATTCCTCAGTAAAGTTACAAGCTTTTTCCCTGTTCAAGACCCTTCTCCCTGACCAGTGTGAGGCATCCAGAAAGTATCCATGATATCAATCACTCCGAGACATTTTGTCTCCAATTGATTTATTTAGAAACAGATCTGGCATGTCAAAGGCAATTTCCCAAAGTGAAATTATTTTTGTGCATTACACAGAATCCACCTTCTCTCTTCCCTTCTCTCCTCCCACTTCTACACTTCATAAATCACGAGAACCAATTAACTGCAACTGGAATTTCTTAATACGACATACAGAATAACCATGAACTTTTCATCTCCTCCATCCCTCCTTCCATGAAATGTGACAGCTGAATTTTAAAGTTGACAACCGGACTGTCAGTGTTCAATAGCATCCCGGTTTGATGTCTTGGGAACCGCTTTGATTGTAGACATGTCTTGAAGAGGTTTCTCATTCTTTCCCCAGCCAGGCGTCCCTGAGGCTGCTGAATCTGGCTGTTTAGCACCTCTGGGTTCCTGTCAGTATTATTCCCTCCCCTCTTACATCCTTCTTCTCTCCACCTGTACAATTTCCCCAATTTCCTCCACTCTCTCTGTTTATGATAGGATGCCAGCAAACTTATTGAGGCATAGTGAAGATAGCAGAGCTGACAAGAGGTTGTTGCTGTAATGATTAAATAACTTAAAACTTAAGTCCTTGTTCGTTTTAAAGGTGTTAACCATAGTCTCGATCTGGGTCATCTTTGGACACAAGACTCCTTAGCATCTGTTCTGACCTAGGCTTCACAAAATCATGAAACAGATTCCTTGTCCCATCAAAACCCCTTTTTATTAGGCTAATGTGAATTTCTATCATTCACATCCAACAAAGTCCCGGCAAAGAGTCTTTCAAGAATAAATTACAACCATAGACTTTACCAGGCTTGGAGAGTTGCCAGGCCAATAGCTTCCAAGCGCAACGCTGTAAAAGAAAATACTTGGCAAGGAGACTCTGAGAGTCACGGACAAATCTTCACACTAATTAAACAAACTAATTGTCTCCTGCAAACACCACTGCCCTTTTGCTCCTCTTTATTCCCTGTTGGAGGGGCCATTCACCATCCACCTGTGTGCCTTTACTCCTGAGTCAACCTCTGTTCCTTAATTGTTCCCTTCTCCTGGCAGCTCTGTGCATGCGCACATCGGGAACAGGCCCCAGCTGTTCTTCTGCCTCACTGATCTTCGACTCCAAAGGCAGCTGATAACTGTCGGACGGCCCAGGCCCCATCTCTGCCTCTGATGCAGAGCCCTCGTCAGAGCCTTCCCCAGACTCCAGGACTGGCCCATGTTCCTCCCCAACCTCCTCACTGTCTGAGTCTACTGCCAGCTCCGATGGCCACTGGCCAGCACACAACAGCATCATTGCTCTCCTCATAAAAGGGCAGGCAAAGGCAGAATGGGCCATCCCAAGCATTGTCTTAGGGAACAAAGCAATTCAAAACAGCTGCTGAACTAAGACTGCATAGAGCTGAGTCAATTGGTAATGTCACCACTGTCACCACTGTCGTCATACAGCCTTTGCTTGATTCAAAGTACACTCTCCCAGGTAAATTTCTCTAAGAAGAAGGTCCACTTACTTTGTGCAGATGATTCCATCTGAGGACTGTACATCAAGCAGCTGTTTTAATCGGTTGTCAGAAAGGTTCAGTTTCTGAAGGTTCATCAGTCCCCAAGGGATGATGGATGGAAGGGAGGTCAGGTGATTAGTGGAGAGGTCCAGCTCCGTTATTTGACGGGAAAGATCTATCAGCCAATCAAAATCCACCCAAGGCAATCTGAGCTTTGACCAGTTCACAGAAAGACCCTGAAGATAAAGTGTTGAGGAACAGTTAATGGACATCAATAATTCTGGTTAAAAAGCAGGAAGACCCCGAAGATAAAGAGAGAAGGGACATTAGATGGGGATCATCAGCAACTCCAATTAAAAGCAGGTAAGAGTGACTTTCAGAGAAAAACAGAAACAGGAAAATTACTATATGGCTGAACATTTCTTACAATTTATTCAGGCTATGAATAGCAGGCTGAACTATTCTTTTTAGCCTCACCCAGGGTCCTGTGTGAATTCTGCTGCTAATTAGAGATTAATGCTTAAGGATATATTTCAGAACTGAAAGAAAAATATCAGCTGTCTTTTTTTTCTCACCACTATATTGCAATACACTGGTTTTTTAAAAATATCTCTGGGTTTGCAAACATTAACCCAGTAACACACAGTTTATTCTCCATCCTCATTTATTCACATTACTAAACCATAATGTAAATTTTTAAAAATCAGCTTGATATGTTGGGTGAAATCAGGTATTACAGTTTCCAAGCTACGGTGTACGGCTAAGCATAACTCCTGCCAAAATATGAATGTATGTATTGATTTGATTTGATCTGGTTTCATTTGATTTGATTTTAGTCTGCCACCATCAATAGATTCCTAAAGAATAATAATCAGGAAATAATGATCCATGCTACAGTAAGCACAAATAAGCGATTGTATAAAGATAACCTCAGAGCAAATAAAATATCATGTCATTATATATTGTATACTTATTTATTTCGATCAACATAAAATCGAAAGGCAGAAAAGACTAGGAGAAAATAACAAATAAAAAAGTAATAAAGTGCAGTCAAGATTCAACTATTCATTTTTCATCTATTGTGTTTTTGAACTTTACAAGCTATTTTTAAAAACTAATTTATAATATGAAATAGAAATGCAAAAGAAAGTCGAAGGAAAATAAGAGAGGAAGAAGAGAAGGGAAAATGTAAAGAAAAGGAAAAAAAGGAAAAAAGGAAAGAAAAGATATTGACTTCCAACTCCCTTTGCAGTAGAATAAGATACTAATATCAAACCTCAACCTCAACAAAAGTTTCATTTTTTTCTACCTCAAGCATAAAGTCCAGAAGCTGTTTCCAAGTAGAAACAAAAGTAATGGTGCTTTTTTTCCTTTAATCAGTCAATTTAGCCATCTTTGCTAACTCCATCAACTTTTGCAGCCATTCATCCATTGTGGGAATCAAAGTGCCCTTCTATAACCTTACAAACTATTCATATGTATTAAATGCAATTTTAGTAGAAATAGCATTTAGACTTCTATACCAGCCCTCTCTAAGCAGTTTAAAAAGTGCCTCCAACAATCTGGGCCCTCATTTTACCAACCTCGGAAGGATGGAAGGCTGAGTCAACCTTGAGCCGGTCAGAATCAAACTGTTGGCAGAGTTAGCCTGCAATACTACATCCTAACCACTGCGCCACCATGGCTACAAGTAGATAACAATTACAATAGTTAAACCATTTCTTTGCCCTCCCCCCAGCATGACTTACTGGTTTTGCCTGGACATTCCCGGATGAAGGAACTGGTTCAATGAAATGTTTGCAAAGAAGCCGTTTGCTCGCCTTGGGACAATCCATTAGTGTGTAGGAACAAAAGAATGAACCATTCTCCAGCAAAAAGGCAGCGATATTGTCATGGCCTAGCAAACACAGATAAGGGCTGAAGCTATGTTAAGCAATTAACATACAGGTTTTCCAAGACCGTTTTTTTTTAATGACTCAGTTCTGAAATACTCCAAAGCACTAGAAGGCAGGACAAGAAGCAATGGATGGAAACTGATCAAGGAGAGAAGCAATCTGGAATTAAAGAGAAATTTTCTGACAGTGAGAACAATTGATCAGTGGAACAACTTGCCTCCAGAAGTTATGAATGCTCCAATACTGGAAGTTTTAAAGAAGAGATTGGACAACCATTTGTCTAAAATGGTATAGGGCTTCCTGCTTGAGCAGGGGTTGGACTAGAAGATCTCCAAGATCCCTTCCAACTCTATTATTCTATTCTGAAAGTCATTCCTTAAAACAAGAATACAGCTAGTCCTCATTTAGTGAACAGAATTGGGACTGGCCACTTGATTGCTAAGTGAAGTGGTGACTAATGGAAACCACAATTGTGTTTACAATCTGACTTCAGCTTTTCTCTGCTTTACAGACCTGAGAAGTTTGTAAATGCGAGGATTGCTTGTTAAAGCTACTTTTCTTTTAATCACCACCGTAACTGCGAACTGCTAAATGAGTCGGTCACTGTTTATTTAATACAGCCTCATTCTCCAAGTTGAGACCTCAGTCCAGCCCTCCAGAATGGCCGCCAAACTATATTTGTGAATGCTAACCAACCAGCAGATGATTAAAATAACACAGGAAATAATCCTATCATATCAGTTGCTTTTTAACAGATGCAATGGATACAATTTTCAATTCAAAATTCAATTTGTATCCTGTCTTTTTCAGTTGTTAAGTAAATCTCTTGAGTTGTTGAGCTGGCTTCCCCACTGACTTTGTTTATCCAAAGGTCGTAAAAAGGGGTTGCATAACCCCAGGACAACACAACTCTCATAAATATGAACCAGTTGCCAAGCCTCCGACTGCAAATCACATGACCCTGGGAATGCTGCAACTTGATTTGGTGCCATTGTAACTTTGAACAGTCACTAAATGAACTGTTTGTAAGCTGAGGACTACTGTACTTTCAGTGATGGGATTCAAAAAAAATTATTACTGGTTCTGTGGGCGTGGCTTGGTGGGCGTGGCATGTTGGGCATGGCATGGTTTGGTGGGCGTGGCAGGGGAAGGATACTGCAAAATCCCATTCCCTCCCCACCCCACTGACCTGCTTTCCAGCTCCGTTCTCCTGTGCAGGGCAACCAAAGAAGACCCAGCCAATCAGCTGGGACTTGGAAGGCAGAGAAGAGATGGGGTTGGCGGAGCCAGTCAGAGGTGGGATTTGCTGGTTCTCTGAACTACTCAAAATTTCTGCTACTGATTCTCCAGAACTGGTCAGAACCTGCTGAATACCACCTCTGTGTACTTTAAATACTACACCATGCATGCCCCAGTTCCACTTTTCTGGTAGCCATCCTCCCTTTTGGGAAAGTGGTCCCTGAGAGTCCCCCCAAAAGGAAGAAATCATCCCAGAAAGAACAAACCATCACACACCTTCTTGCATGGCGGCATAAAGTGGCAATCGAAGAAGGACCGGGAACTCATTCTTTCTCACAGCGTAGCTGTCAGGATCCGCTCTGTATGCCAGCACTAAGAGCTTAACCACTTCTAGATGGCCTTGTTGACAAGCCACCACCAGCATCCAATTCAGCAATTGCGAGATGTTCGTTGCACCTATCAAAATGAGCATTCATGGACTGATGTTATAACAACCATGACTTGTTTGGGCAAAGACAACGTGTGAATTTTTCTGGACTGGTTTTGGCTTAGCATGTTGTGCAAATGCACTGTTCATCATCTCCATTAACAACCCCATAATCCCTTGTGGGGTGGAGTCTGGAAAACTGAATGGAGCTGAGTGTTTAATGGCCAGATGTCCTTCCTGTTACCAATGTAGAGTTGTTTTTTCCAGAAGATATATTCTCATTGTGCCTAGAGAGAGAAATATCTGCCACTACCTAAGATCGAACTCACAGCCTCACAGCTTCCTGATTGTGAGACGAGAGCTCCCCATCTAAGGCCACCGCACTATTCACACTACCAAAAGCACGGTTTGTTGAACACATCTTGGCAGCTTCTTCCATAAGCAGGTAGTCCTCGATATATGGCCACATTTGACCCCAAAATTGAGGTTGCTAAGTGAGAAATTTGTTAGGTGAGTTTTGCCTCATTTTACAACTTTTCTTGCCACAGTTGTTAAGTGAATCACTGTAGTTGTTAATTCATCAAACTGTTTGTTTAGTGAACTCTGGCTTCCCCGTTGACTTTGCTGGCCAGAAGTTCGCAAAAGGGGATCACGTGACCCCAGGACATTGCAACCGTCCTAAATATGAGTCAATTGCCAATTTTGATCGCATGAATATGGGGATCCTACTACGGCCATAAGTGTGAAAACTGATCGTAAATAACTTTTTTTCAGTGCCATTGTGAATTTGAATGGTCACTAAATGAACTCTTGTAAGTTGAGGAGTACATGACGTAAGTAAAAGTGTATGGAAAGAGAAGGGCTAGAAACTCAACCTACCAAGAAAAGATTCTAGCAATTCTTGTACTACGTCCTTATGTCCAAAATACGCAGCTACCACTGCTGGGTTATCATCACTGGGTTCAGGGCTTATGGTCACACCTGTCTCCTTTAACAAGTATCTCACGGCCAGCAGGTCCCCATAGGTGGTTGAAAGGCTCAACAGGTGCCCCTGATTTGAGAAAGGGAAGCATAAATTTTTTTTTAATTTTAATTTTTAATTTTAATTTTTTTTTTAATTTTGAGATCAGAAGTCCTCAAAACCTTCAACTCCTTCAAACTTTCAGAGGCCAAGTAAAGATAGTCCAGTTCTTGGGCCCTCACCTTCTGTTTTTTTAAATTTACATATGTATATATGTAAATTTAAATTTACATATGTATATTTCTGTATATTATTATTATTATTAATATTAATATTATTAATATCTGCCCATGTTGTGTGTGAACAGAGTTGGTTCTGGGTATCATTCATATCAATCCAATTCACAGTAACAATATTAGTCATCTCTATCACGTTTATCAAATTTAAGTAATCCTCATTATATTGTTTAAACATACATGAAAAAAATGCCTAACCTCTATAGACTTCTAATCTTTCTATTATTTTTATTTATTCTATGAACATTTATATTCTAATATTTCCCCTATCTAATTTTATGTCTGCCTCTTTCAGTTTACGATCACTCTACAATAGTATTTAAAGGGCAATTCTTTCTGTCCATTGTCTCTTATTCTCTTTAGTGCTTCAATTCGTTCATATTAATCCAATTCCCAGTAACAGTATTAGTAAGCTCTATCACATTTATCAACTTCATCAACCTTCTCCTCTTGAGAGAGATTCCTCCTGCTGGCTGCTTGGACCAGCTGTAGAGCAGCCTCCAAGTCTCCACTTCGGTAGAGACTCTGAATGGTCTCGCTTGCAGAGGTCTGGCCAGGGGAGAGAGACTCCATTGTGGACGGTTGAACACCCACGTCCGACAATTCTGTACACAAAGGATAAAAGATATTTAATAGGAATGACAACAAGACTGACAAATAGGTAAGAATGATCAGGCACGAGAATAGGTAGTCCTTGACTTACAACAGTTCATTTAGTGACCATTCAAAGTGAGAATGGCACTGCAAAAATGACTTATGAGCTTTTTTCACACTTATGACCATTGCACTGTCCCCATCTGATCAAAATTCAGATGCTTGGCAGGTCAGAGGTGGGATTCAGCAGGTTCTGACCAGTTCTGGAGAACCGGTAGCAAAAATTTTGAGTAGTTTGGAGAACCGGCAAATACCACCTATGACTAGAGATTTTATAATATCCTTCCCCTGCCACACCCACCAAGCCACACCCACCAAGCCATGCCCACAGAACTGGTAGTAAAAAAAAATTGAATCCCACCTTTGTGGCAAGTGGCTCATATTTATGACGGTTACAGTGCCCTGGGGTCATGTGATCACTTTTGTGATTTTTCTGACAAGCGGTGTCAATGGGGAAGCCAAATTCACTTAACAACTTAGCTTATTAGCTACAGATTTATTTAACAATAGATTGGAGTGGAGTGGAGTGGAGTGGAGTGGAGTGGAGTGGAGTGGAATGGAATGGAATGGAATGGAATAGAATAGAATAGAATAGAATAGAATAGAATAGAATAAGTATTTATTAGTATTTATTTATTAGTATTATCTGCTTTAGAGTAGAATAGAATACAGAATAGAATTTTTTATTGTCACTTTAAATATACACTAATCAGCATACATTAAAATGAGATTTTGTTGCATTCAGCTCTCAAAAGATAACCCTTATGCATATACCCACATACACACACATATATGACACAAGGAAACATCACAGTCTAGTTTGAATGTATACAAATACATGGTGGGGGTAGGGGGAAGAACCCTGCAAATGTACAAGACAGATGGCATAAGGAACAAAGCTATGGCCAGAAAAGTGGGCCCAAACTCATTTAACAACTGTCTCGCTTAGTAACAGAAATGTTGGGCTGAATTGTGGTCATTAAAGTTAAGGAATTACCTGAAACTAGGAACAGCAGCTTAGTTCAACGCACTACAAGTTTATTACATGCTAGCTATACAGTTGGCACATTTTATATATTGTCTGCCAACTTTCATTCTGCTTTGAATCTTTAAAAAACAAAAGCAATTAAAAAAACCCTAACCAAACTAATCAGCATGAATGAAAGGAAAGATGAAAGGAAAGAGTGGAAAGTCCTTGCAATGTATGTATTTTTTTGAAATGAAAGGAACAAAGCAACTTCCTTATTATTTCTACCAATGGTACTTTCCATGGGTTGATTCCTAATCAAACAGAGGTACTGTCTCAGCCAATGAAGGCAGGCCAGATCAGGGACCCAAGGTTTTTACAACTCTAGGAGTTGTAAAAAGTACTTTATTTATTTACCCCCATTCATTGCTAAAAGGACAACTGTCATACAGGAATATCTCAAGGAGCTCCAAAGTAAAGCAGACATTAGGGTTATCTATAGAAGTCTAAGGGACGCGGTGGCTCAATGGCTAAGACACTGAACATCGATCAGACAGATCGGCAGTTTGGCAGTTCGAATCCCTAGCACTGCATAACGGAGTGAGCTCCCATTATTTGTCCCAGCTTCTGCCAACCTAGCAGTTCAAAAGCATGTAAAAATGCAAGTAGAAAAATAGGGACCCCTTTGGTGGGAAGGTAACAGTGTTCCATGCACTTTCGGCATTTAGTCATGTCAGCCACATGACCACGGAGACGTCTTCAGACAGCGCTGGCTCTTCGGCTTTGTAACGGAGATGAGCACCATCCCCTAGAGCCAGAAACATCTACCACATATGTGCGAGGGGAACCTTTACCTTTTACCTTATAGAAGTCAACCAATATCCTTGAAAACCGACAGCTTTGGCTACCCATCAAATCTTCCTTGTCAATTATTCAAAAGGGAATCCAAGTCCGGAGACATAGGAGAGATGGCTTTGGGGAGTTGCAAAGGCATCCACAATTTTTGCAGAGTAATTCTCAGACCTCCGAGAGTGTTTGAAGGATGCACAGAAAAAGGCAGCTCTAAAATTCAGGCAGGCAAAAGCTGAACACTTTAGCTGAAGGCTGGCTTCAGCAACCGGCATGTGTTTTATTACCCAAAGTAGGTAACATCATCTGTGCTAGTCACTAGAATTCACTAGTTTGGGTAATGAAACAATCAAGCTCACCAAGGACCCCTCAATTCAAGCCTGAGCTACAAATATTTATTGGGACTGGCATGCTTCTACAAGCAGCATGTACATACAGTCACACAGGCTTTCTTTTGGCCCAACAGAGGATTACAAACAACTTCAAATTGCCTTTGATGCCCTTGACTTCATGTTAATGCAACCAAAAGTGCTGTTTTAGCTTTCTGCTGCCACCACTTGAAAATCCTGGTCAAGAAAGAGTCCCATCAGGGGATGCTTGTTAGAGATCTCCCTCCTCCTCCTCCTTCCTCCTCCTCCTCCTCTCCACAAACCCCATTCTCTTCTAGCACTGATGATGTTACCTAGTTTGGGTAATGAAATGTTTGCAAGAAAACAACCAAGCTCAGAGAGTACCAAGGACCCCATAGTGGTCCTCCTCCTCCTCCTCTTCCTCCTCCTCTTTCTCTTCTCCACAAACCCCATTCCCTTCTAGCACTGATGATATTACCTAGTTTGGATAATGAAAAGTCTGCAAGGAAACCAACAAGCTCAGAGAGCACCAAGGACCCCACAGTCCTCCCCTCCTTCTCCACCTCCACTTCCTCTCCCTTCTCCTCCTTCTCCTCCTCCTCCTCCACCACTACCAATTTGGTACCAGCAAAGGGTTCATGAGAAATATATCACCATGTGTTGTCCATCTACAGTATTTTTAATTTATAATGAAATTCAACATCTGGAACAAACCAATACTTTTTAATATAGCTATAAACGTCTATACTCTTCCACCATTGAGGGCTTTCAATACAACTAATAAAAATGGAAAACGAAAATCAAGTAGCACAAAACCTTTATGCAATTAGCAGCAAAACAACAACTTTATTTATTTATTTGCTGATCACATTTATACAGTCGCTCATCTCACCAGAGATGACTGTAGTATTTGGAGAGAAAAGCAAACAGCTCAATAAAAGATGTTAAGCCTCCATAGCTTTTATCTTTGTATCCTTTTATTCCTTGTACAAGGAATTTTAGCCCTGAAGATCCTTAAGACACCTATTTGCACAATGCAAACTTTACTACACACACACACACACACACACACACACACACACACACACAAAGGGTTTCAATAACAATTCTGACATTTCTGCAAGGTGCAAAGGTGGAGTGCAGGAATTTGAAGTTAGGCAGCTCTGGACAGAATTCACATCAAATTATTACTGCATAGAATTCACCTTCATGTCATTCTGCTTGCAAGGGTATCTCCAAACCTCTGGCAGCAAAGAGAGCATTAGCTCCCTTTGGGATCCACTCAATCTGCTCTTTCTCAATGGGAGCTCGGAAAATGTCAAGATTATTAACTTGACAAAGCCTGCGCATGCCTCTCCTGAGCTGTCTTAGCATCCTGCCACTCGAAAGTATCTTCCTTTGTCAGAAGGGAAGAGAGACTTTTCATTTTGGTGGCAACAAATCCACGCAATGTCCCTTAGCAGTGATATGTGAGCATCCGCAGTGTCAGATACAAATAGAACGACCCATTTTAGAGTGATTTCTTAATAGTCCATTTTTTATTTATCTCCAAAGCCAATAAAGGGAGGAGAGCCCATGACTTAGAGGTTAATATGCAAGCAGCCTGGGTTCAAAACCCAGAAAGGGTATGGCTAGTTGAGGAGAGCTAAATAGCTTGGAATCGGGAGTGGGCTGCTGTGGTTTTGCCCTGGTTCAGGAGGACCTGTTGCTAATGTTACGTCTGGTTCAGCGAACCGCCAAATCCCATTCCTGTCTGGCTCCTCCCACCCCACCCTGCTCTGCCCCTCCCACCCCACCCCTCCCAGGAGTCTCCACACGGCCCGATTTGGATGCGAGGTAAGTGCAGGGCCCATGTGGAGGCTTGGGGAAGGGAAAAAATTGGCCTCCCGGAAGCAGAAATGGGCCCGTTTCTGGTTTTTGGAGGGCATCCGGACCCCGGGGGAGGCAGTTTTTGCCCTTCCAGAGGCTCGAGGAAAGCCTCCGGAGCCTGGAGAAAGTGAAAATGCCCCCCCCCCCCCCGTGGTGCAAGAGGTCGACTAGGCCACGCCTACAATAGCCACGCCCACCCAGCAAACGGACAGAGAACCCATTGCTGAAATTTTTGAAGCTCACCCCTACTTGAAATCCACTATTGACCTCACCCCATTCCTAAGAGGTCTGTAAGGGGCGTGCATAAGTGCACCATCATGCCTACCGTCCCTGTCCTATTGTCCCCATTTATTTGTACCTATTTCCTGTATTCTTACTCATGTTTATACTTATACCTATAATTATAAGTGATTGACAAATCAAATAAATAAATAAATAGATCTATACTAGTCTCCCTTTATTTCTTTGTCAGTAAAATATAAATTCAACTCCAAAGTTAAATTACCAAATAGAGGTGAGGGGGGGGGGGATAAAAAAAAATAAAGTTAACGAAAACATTTCTTATAAAGACTGCCAGGGTGCCTCTGCATTAAACAGCTTTCTTGAATGTCTTCTTTGATAAGATGCAAAGTGGAATTTGCATTTGAACCGGAGTTGTACTTTCAACGAAGAGCCAATATACACGAGCACTTGAAAGCATACACAACACTGCAGAGTGTAAGATGAGAAAAAAAGGGCAGCTTCAACAGGCTTCTCAGTTAATGGATAACAAATCAGAAGATATTGACTTTCTGCTAATCTTAAAACTTCAAGATAGGCTCACCCAATGAAACCTGCGTTTCACAGCAAGGAAAATGGATTTTTGTGACTACAGCAACCCAGTTTCAAATTAAATTATGTCCTGGGGGTTTCTCGACCCCCCCCCCCAATATCTTAGCTTGTGTGCTACATTCATTTTCCTCATCCAGATGAGGAAACCGACCAACTTCACAAGGTTATTATAGAAACGACTTGATTTTCTTGTGAAATTCACTAAAGGACTAAAACCTCTTTACACAACTAAATAATACAGCACTGTGGACTACATTAAAGGTAAAAGGTAAAGGTTCCCCTTGCACATACGTGCTAGTCGTTTCTGGCTCTAGGGGGCAGTGCTCATTTCTGTTACAAAGCTGAAGAGCCAGCGCTGTCCAAAGACGTCTCCGTGGTCATGTGGCCGGCATGACTAAATGCCGAAGGCACACAGAGTGCTGTTACCTTCCCACCAAAGTGGTTCCTATTTTTCTATTTTCATTTTTTACATGCTTTCGAACTGCTAGGTTGGCAGAAGCTGGGACAAGTAACAAGAGCTCACTCTGTTACGCAGTGCTAGGGATTCGAACTGCCGAATTGCTGACCTTTCTGATCGACAAGCTCAGTGTCTTAGCCACTGAGCCTTGTGGGCTATATTAAGTTTCCATAATTTATCCAATGTCCTCATTTTCATGGAGACTTTACCTGGAGCTCTCCATCTCTTGGAACAGGAAACTCTTCTTCTTATATTCAGATACAGATGACACCACTCAAAACTTATCACATCTGTATTGATCTTTTTTGGTATTGTGGTGACCAGAATTGGATGCGCTATTCCAAGCATGGTCTCAGCAGTGAACCATAAAGCGGTACTATCACTTCATGTGATAGGCTGTTGATGCAGCCTAGGACTGTGTTGGCTTTTTTGGCAACGGCAGCACACTGTGTTGGCCCATATTTAAGTGGTTGTCCACTAGAACACCTAGATCCCTCTCCCTGCTGTTGAGCCAGGAACCAGTGGTGGGATTCAAAGATTTTTACCACCAGTTCAGTGAGCGTGGCTTGGTGAGCATTCTTTGTGCACGTGCACACACTTTGCATGCGTGCGTGTGCCAAATGAACGCTTTACGCAGGCGCAGAGGTGTTCCAACTCGCTTTCTGCAAGCCTGCACTCTCCCTGTCGTTTCAGCAGCTGCTGCACAGCACACTCTGCTGTGTCACGCAAAGCAGCTGTGCTTCAAAAGCAGGGAATAAAAGTGAGTATGGGAGCCCGGATAGGCAGGTGGGCCCAATAGCAGAGCAGTGGAGAGAACCAGTTCGGCCTCCGCTGCTCATTGGCACTACCAGCTCGGGAGAACCGGGCCGAACCAGTGGAATACCACCACTGCCAGAACCACTGAATTCCTGAAGTATCTTGAGGACGTTGTCTCTTTAAATGAGTCATACCAACTAGTGGATCTGCCCTTCGATCACACTCCCCTCTCCTTGGTGAAATCAAACAAATGAATGGAGGAGTAAGACTGAAAAGGCAGTGCTTTGTATTCTCCAATTTAAAGTACAGGCTAATGCCTTTGAACCAGAATCAGGCTACAAAAAACACCATGCTAGCAAGATCATGCTAGACAAACAGTGCATCAAAGGAAAGGCTCATGTTACATAGCTGTCAGCTTTCTAGGTAGACCCGGTGCCACACTTGCCACAAGTTAAACCTCTAAGTACACATGACCCATATAAGATCTATACATATCTACTTTCTGCTTTAACTGCTATTCCTTCTGTCTTGTTCTCGATATAACTCCTGCCTCCACTTCAGAAAAACCAAAAAAAAAAAAACCACATCCCAACCCACAACTTGACAGATCTAGCTTCACTTTGGAAAGCTCTGCAGGCTTTCCAGACTGTTCACTGGGTAAAGGTCCAGCTCTCCATCAACAGATACCTGCAAGAACCAAGAACCAACTCAAGACATTTTTCAGCCTAAGGGGATCTTAACAAATGGCATTTGTCCTCCTACGTAAAACATGATACACAAAAATCACAAGATACTTAGGCTTGTGGCACAGAAAACCCCATAGACACATTTCTCTGCATCTGTAGCAGAGCAAATTAAACAAAAGTGAAGAAAGTGATGATCTGCTAATTGGATATCCAAACCTGCTATTTGAAGAGACCGTTTCATTTTCCTTAGTGGCAGGACTAACTTGCTCACAAAAGACCCTGAATGTGTGTGGGGAAAACCACAAACCTTTTGCCAATATGGGACGGAAGAATTTATCCTGCTCCTGTATATTCCCACAACATGCATATGAAGTTTTTGAGCTGAGTTTCTGCAGTCCATCAACCATGAACCATAAAAAAAAAAAGTTGGATTGGCACACTAGAATAATCACCCCCCAAATCCAAACATAATTAACAGCAGCCAAGTTTTGTATCAGTTGCAAATGCAGCTGCTAGCTCTTACACTCACTTGGTTGAGTGTGTTTTGCCAACAGTCTGTAAGTAACTCCCTTGGATTGGAAAAAGAAGGATGATGTGAGGGAGAAAAACATAGTTAGGGAACTCCATGTCCTTCCTTCACACTGGTCCATGTAAGTTGGAAGAAATATCCAGGTCCAGGCACTGGAGACAAAATGGAGGCTGGAGGCTGATTGGAAAGAAGGCCCATTTATTAATGAAGCAGAACCACCAAGCATGTGGGATTCTGGGTATCTGACCACATGGAGTTGAGAGTGAGGGGTATTTATACCTTCTCTTGGGCTTTGAACATGAGCTTCCTGTTCTTGTACAAGAACATGTATTCTATTGGCTGTTGCCAGACTCCCATGGTGCCATGTAGTTGGCTCTGTAGATTGTCTGAGCTAGGTTTGGTTGAAGTTTGGAGGATGATCCAATGGAGGGGCTTGTTGGGCCATTCCTATTGTGGCTGAGGGCTAACCCTAGCTTTGTTCAGACCTTGCTGCAGGGATTTTCTTATGAATAGAGCTATCTATATCTTTATCTCTTAAGTGCTGACATCTGCTGTGGGCTATTTAAAAAGGTGAGGACTATTAACAGTGAGTTTGCTCTCTGCCTTTAAAAAAACATTTCTCCATTTCTTACCCAGGGAAATATAATATTCTGCCTTTTTAATATTTTCTAAAACATTCCATTCTTCTAGGAGTGGGGTGGGTGCTAACTTTCCACATAGGGATTCATCCCACTTGACCAAAACCTTCATTGACTAATGGATAAATAGAAAAACAGGCATGCTGGTTTCATGCTTACCTTCTTGTTCCTCTCTGGGATTCTCGCCATTTTCTGCAGATTCCTCTCTCCTGACACACCAATACATTCTCGGCACTTGGCAGAAAGTTTTAAACCATCAACACTCCAACACTTCTAATATCTGAAACATCGTCTGCAAAGCCAGGCTAGCATAATCCATCTTCAGAGCACCAAACTATGCGTCACAGCTCAGAAGGGAATGGCTCTGTTTTTTTTAAAAAAAGAGTTAAACAAAGAGAGTAATCCAAATTAATTTTCCTTTATTAAACAAATCCACAGAAAACAGTAATAGTGAAGATTAATATATTTTTAATGCAAATCTAGTTTATTTCAGGAATAAATATAGTACACTTTCTCTAAAGTGTTTTAGCCCTATTTTCCTGGAAATCTTAGTGGAAATTTTAGTGTGTTGTATAAATATTAATACATTGTAACAAATGGATTTTTCTGAATTACGGAATGGGTTTTGTACTCTCTAGCTGCTTATATAATTTTAAGGCTTATTTCCACTGTATGTGAATTTGTAATACAGGAAGATGGGATTTAAATATATTATGTTTTTCCTGAAGTGTTCTAGTCCCATATTCCTGGAAATCACATGGAATCTATTAAAAAAAATCAAAAGTGAAGAATTATACAGGAGAAGGGAAACAACAGGATAAATTAAGCTAGATATTTTGCTCTATTGCATAAGAAATTTCAAAAAAGTAGTTTTAATAAAGAATAGTTCAGAACATCAATCTCATAGACCATTTCTGTTTAAGCTCAAGTGAAGAAAGACGAGATCTTATCTTCAAGCTTAAAAACATTGGTCCTTTTAGCTAAGTATGAAGCATTAAGGGGCGTGCATAAGTGCACCAATGTGCCTACCATCCCTGTCCTAATATCTCCCTTTTATTTGTACCCATTTCATGTAATCATAATCATGTTCTAATTATATTTGTTATCTAATACATGCTTGATAAATAAAAATAAAATAAATAAATAAATCTACAGCACTGAATGGGTGGCCTGAGGCAGGGGTCCCCAACCACCGGTCCGCAGACC